TTTTCAAAAAATAAATATATATATTATTGCATTCTACCATACCTTGGGACCAATCGCAAGATAAAATGGGCTAGAAGATATTTGACACGCTTTTGCTGTTAGTTGAAGCACACTAGTGCAATTAGCTGCAAATGCTGGAATATGCAGGAGTTTACCGAGCATTGTGGCCAATCTTTTATTGTTTATATTTTTAATTATTCAATAATTTATAATTATTACGTTTATTTTTTTCACTCTATTTCTTCATTTATAAATACAAGGTCTGTTCAAAAAGTATCGGACCTTTGGTCGGCAAAAATAAATTTATTGACTTTGAGGAACAAAACCCTAATCCCCTTCAAAGTAGTCTCCTTGGTAATGTATACACTTCTCCCAGCGTTTCTGCCATTGCTGGAAACACTGCTGGAACGCATCTTTTGGAATGGTTATCAGCCGGTCCGTCGCATTTCGCACGATGTCTTCTCTCGACTAAATTTGGGTTCCTTTTAGCGGCATTTTCAGCTTGAGAAATAGCCAAAGGTCACACGGAGCCATGTGGAGAGAATACGGAGCGTGACGAACCACAGGAGTATTGTGTTTGGCGACGAAAGCCCGAATCAGATGCGCAGAATGGGCGGATGCGTTATCACGATGGAGCTGCCAAGTTTTGATCGACCACAGATCCCATCGTTTGCATCGCACTGTATCGGAAAGACGACGAAGGACCTCCTGGTAGTACTCCTTTGCGATGGTTTGGCCTTGTGGTGCGTACTCACGACACACCACCCCACGAGAGTCGAAAAAACTGTCAACATGACCTTTGATATTGCTGCGGACCTGCCGCGCTTTTTTTGGCCTCGAGGATCGTCCCCGAAAGCCTGCTGAATCTTGCGAATGGTTTACACTCGGGTATCGCCAAGGTTTTTGGCAAAATTTGATGTAATATCGCTGCTCACGTTGTTCAGTCATTTTCCAGCTTAGTGAAATCCGACGAGAGCGCACTACATGACCTCACTCATACGCCGATTGCCAACGACTGACGCTTTCTGCAGGCGGGAAAAAATTCAGGGCTGTGCATGACTGTCCCCTCCACAACTCCACCGAAGGAGGCCTCTCTCGCATCATTGGTTTACGCGGAAAAAAATAAGGTCCGATACTTTTTGAACAGACCTTGTATATTAATCAATCCTTTACGAACCGTTTTTATTATTTTTATTGCAGATTTTTTATTTATTGCATTTTCTTTTTTCAATTTTAAACGTCACTAGAAACTATCATCATTTTTCAATATTGTTCATTAGCGACGCTATTGTTTACTGTATTTACATATGTTGAATTTGCTACGGTATTTTTCATAATTTTGTTCATTAATACCATAAAACTATAAACAAACATACGGCCCACAAGTNTGTAATTCTTGAATATTTAATATTGTTTAATTACAAAAATAATTTATTTTATTTTATTATCACAAGGGTATTTATTCTTTATTTTTAAACGTTTTTTTTTATCTCTAAATAATTGTTTAGTAATATTAAAATAGTTTTTTATAAACTGAAAATAATTTAATTTATTCAAAAAAAAGTCAAAATTAATTCTTATTTATTTAAATATACGTGTGGTTTATAATAAATTAAAAATAATATTTTTAAATAAATTTATTTTTAAAAATGTATTATTTTTTAATTTAAATGGATTTGAATCATTTAATGCGATAAATTAAATACATAAAATCGGCTTATGAAGGTTTTGAAATTTATCATAAAATTGATTTTGTAAGTATTATTTAAATTTCAAATAAAATATATATTATAAAAACTTCGCCCAATATTCCAATGACATATACAGTATCAAGAATTCGAATTTATAAAGGATTTTTTGAATCTTCTTTCTTCATCGCTAATCTTAGTAAATCTTCACTTAGATCTATTGGAAATTGAGGATGACCAATACATCTTCTCTAATACATCACACACTTTTCCTGTCGTAAATTAAAGAAAAAAAAAACAAAACCTGTTATAATTTCGATCTAAACGTTCTGTTATACAAGAGTTTGTACTTATTTTAATCAATTAAATGATTTGCTTTAAATAGATTTGAACCTTCCAACAACGACCAACTCTAAATTACTTTCTGATATGCATACGAAGCCTTGTATACACATCAGAAGGGAACATAACAACCTCCAAAAAACGGCCAGTTATTATGTTCCTGTCAGTGGCCGTTGCTCAGAGGTTTGACTGTATAATAATTTTCTTTATTTTAACAAATAAATTTAATATTTATCAGTATAATTTATACATATTTGCTTGTTATTAAACTTCATAAAATACTTGATATGTTATAATCAATGTCATTTAATATTTTAATTAGTTTCTGTGTTGTTTTCACATTGTTCTTAATTACTATTTGTTTGATTTTACATTAAAGACTTAATTACATTTTCCACGTATTACCTTACAATTTCTTATGTAATTATAGAATTAACTGAATGCTTGAGACGTATTTATTACAAGAAAATTATAACTTTCAAATATATCAGAAGATAATTTAAGTATAATTGAAATGTTACGATGTAATTTTTAAATATTTTGCTGAAACATGGGCGATCTGCCAAGGCATTCTTCTTGGCAGATCGCCTACGTTGCGTTGCCCTATTCCATCAATCCTATCTGAAATGCTGTTTTTCAGTTAATATGTTATTGTAAATGCATACTAATAGAGAAAAATAAGGCATTAGTCTAAAATTTGGCGCTCCGGATCAAAGCAAAGCCGGCCCATTTGTAATGGGCCAAATGAGTTCTGACCCAGAGTACCAAATTTTGTTTTGATAATTCTGGCATTGATGTTAATTATTATTGAGTTTGGAATTGATGAAACAAGGTTGCTGCTCAACGTGGTCTGTTGCCCGATACTGACGTCAGAAAACGTGTGGCCCGACAAGGAAGTCGGCCAATATTGGTTTCCGAAAGTTTGAAAATCACAACTTGTTGTCACCGACAACAAATCAGCGAACGTCACTTGAATATGGCAGCCATTTTTGTTTGGATACGCTGCATCACGTGACTGGTTGCTGGAGAAAAACGTCTAGTATTCGCTCTCTTCACAAACATTGACGGATAACAAACCCATGTACCAATTACGGTTGCCCAGCAAAATCGTTTAGTGTTCGCCCCGCTTTACGTAACTATTTGATATTACGTATATTCTAATGCTATTTGTTTAACAATTCTCATTAACAATTCAAGAAGACTCTTTCAAATCGTCACCGAAAATATCATTCGTAAACCGTGTGGTGTTTTATTAATTATTCCACAATGCTTACTAATATAATAATGCATTAAACATACATTATCACTGTGAATGAGATGAAATCAGGAGTTTCCAGGCGTATATTTTTCGCAAGGTCCTAGAGTATAACTCTGGAAAATCTGCTCCGGATCGGTCAAGAGGTATAGAAGTATATTTGAAACATACAGTACATACAACAGACAGGCATTCAGACAGGCATTTTATATATAGATAGATAAAGTGCAGTAATAGATATTATTGAAGATTGATTAAATAAATTTCGAGGATAAAACCTAATTTATTTATTTATTTTCCATTAGAAATGTATAGTTTTCATTTTAACTGAAAATTATACATTTAAATATATACAATTAAATATATATATTATACGGTTTATTTTATTTTTTTATAACAATCTATTATTATAGAGTCAAACCACTGACGGAACACAAAATAGCTGTTGTTCGGAGGTGGCCAGTACTGTATTTGGAGGTTATTTTGTATTCATTTCAGAAAGAAACGTTCTGAAAAAATGTCCGCCGTTTAAAGGTAAGTGTTATTAAAGGTTCGTGTGTAATAAATTGATAATGAATATTTCAAAATTCAATGGCTTTTCTTTATCGTTTTTTTATTGAGAACTATATTAAATAAAATAGGCTGCATATTGATTACAGTTTCTAAGAAATTTTATAATTAACTAAATTTAATGAATAAATTAGACAAATTCTATCCATCGTAAAAATAACTGATGAATCACTAAAGTAATTTATTATTGCATAAATTCAAAGTTAGAAAACATAAATTGAATTTTTGTTATTTATTTAAATATTTGTTCAAAATATTAAATAGAATAAACCGTTAGATAGATACATTATCAGATAACAGCACTTAACTAACGTACGTATTTTTATAACATATAATCTATAATAGCACTATAGTACAGTAGTTGGTCGTGGGTTCGCATCTCACTAACCGACTGGCCATGTGTATTCTTCGCTTGTCTAACACCTAAATAGTGAACAGTTTCCCATCGAAACTCCACCCACTCGGCAGATAATCCATGTGTTGCATTGAGACAATTCAATTTACAGTATAAATTACATACAAGACAATAAAAATTAATAATTCATTGAACGAATTTTATAAATTTTTATATTTAAAAAAATTAATAATTAAACCGAAAATATTCAACTTACATTTACAACTCAATTAATTTTAGTTTAGAATGAATATTTCACATTTCTGAAATGAAAATATTACACCAGTAACACGATGGTGATGGTGACCTATGTAATGCTAAATGTTAATTTATTCTTAAAACTATGCTTAAGTCTTTATCACATAATTCCTTTTGATTAATGGTTAAATATGAATTAGTCTCCATCTGACCGTAATCCGAGATAACCGCCATTGACTTCTCCTAAATTATCAACCATAACAACAAATGCTACAAACACAGGAAAACAATCGAAAATGTAATTCTCCACTTAGACGATAAGTAAAGCGTAATGTTGCATTACTGTCACTTCAAAAAAACATTTTTTTTTTAACATTTACTTTGATTATATCAATATCTTTAATACTGCACAATATATTATTCCCAACTCAGTTATCGATTATAAATTTATACGTATCTGTCTAACATTAGACTACATTGTTTCAAAATAAATAATTTGTATATTGCACATTTAAAACAAACGTGTTGGCTGTAAAAATAATTTATATTTAAGTTTTTTTTTTATGAAATGAATACTATTATAAAATTAACTCAGTATCATTAAATCTTTAGTCAGCTACAAGTACACTTATGCAAAATCATTGTAAACTATTACAGAAGCAAGTAATGCTTTAAATAATTTATATTTAATTTTTTTAAAGTGGAATAACAACTATGCAAAATTATGCAAAATCCATTGAATAATTTTGGACATAAATACATTTAAAGCATCATTGTATTAATATTTGAGTTTCAATATAACTTATTATTAGTTTTAAACAAAACAAAGCAGTTTTATTGTCATATTAAAGTAGTATTCTAAGGTTTATAATTATAGTAATTTCATGACAACTTGCAACCATTAAAACTCTTAGTAAAACAGTATTCTATAAATATACCAAATCAGTTTTCTTATCAAATATTAAGTTATTTTAACTATTTATAAACATTATATTTTCTCATTTTTTATAAGTATACAAATAGACAGACATTCATCAAATCAAGCATCTCATACTTTAAAATAGTAATAACTGTTTGTTATGATAACATTTTTCTTATTGAATAAATAAATAAATGAAATATATGAAAATATAAATAAAATACCTTTACAAAATACATGATACTCATTTTATCATATTCTAATCTTGTGAGTGTTGCATGAAATCTAATAGACTGTCAATAAACTGATATATTATTACAATTTGCTTAGTGCTGCAGCAACTTTGGATCTTGAAGTCTTTTTAAGAGCTTGACATATATATTCACCAGCGTCTAGTAATTTACTTAGATTTATACCCTGAAAATATTGTAAAAAAATCATTATCACCATTTGAAAATCACTGATCTACATTCAAATTTCAATTAAGATAATCATCATTCATGCACTGTCCACTTAAGGAAAGATGCTGTATCTACAAAAAAAATTTCAAGTTGAGGTGTCTTATGGGTTTCTAATAAAATATGTTTAAACATGAATTATAACATTTCTTCTTGGCAGATATGTAAAGTATTAGAAACCTCAGCTTGAAATTTAAAATTTTTGTAGATATGGCATTTTTCCATAGGAGAGCAGTGTAAATTCTTCAAGTTTTCATCAAAAGAAAAATAAATTACAAAAACACACATTAAAAAAAAAAACAGAACTTCAAATTTTTTTTTTATTAGATCATTATGTTATTAAATGTTTGAACTTGATAAATTTTAAGATTTGTTATTTTTTTTAATGTATTTTCTGTTAAATATTTTAGTGAAGCACTAGTAATACAACTTATAGGTATTTAGTAAATCTGTAGTGTAAAAGTTATATTGAGAATTTTAGTTTATTTTTTGATAAAATGGACTTATTTCTTAAAAGTTTAAAATATTAACAATAATTTAACATATTAAACTAAATGTAGAAATATTGCTACTAGAATAATATCTATTTTCAATAATTGAGAGTTTGAGTTTATTCTGATAAAAAACAAAACATACCGTTTTAATTCCCATTCCATGCAACATATACACCACATCTTCAGTGGCAACATTTCCGGATGCATTATGAGCATAAGGACATCCACCTAGACCAGCAACAGATGCATCCACTACACTTACTCCCATCTGAAATAAATTTTATTATTTTTATATATTGTATTTAAAATGTTAAATACAATATAAATGTCAACAGAAAATATTGACTGCAAAAAATATAAATGCAAATTACCTTACAGTATTTATAAATTTCCTGAGCTGTTATATTAAATATAAAGAATATACTATTATTAATCCAGAGAAATACAAAATACTGTATTTATTCTAATAAAAAAGTACATTGTTTATTAGAGGGAGACTATTATTTCCATTGTTTAGGAATTGGGTGCAATTATGACTAAATTATTAATGGAATAAATCTGGTAACTTTTTTCATATTATTATTATTTGAACAATAGTGCAGCATTCAACATACCCACACCTTATTTTAAAAATATGGTAAGAATACAATACTGAATAGAATGTGCAGTTAAATGTTGTCTATAATACAGAGAATTATTAATATTAAATCAAAAATTGTTGATTATTTTAAATATTGATTTTTTTACCTAAAATAAGGTCATCAAATGTATGATGACTTCTATAAAGTTCTGTTATTAAGTGTCATTATCTTTTTTTATTGGTAGTAAGATCAATTATGTTAATATATTATGATGAATGAAACAATATAAAAACATCAAATAAGATTAATGTGCATGAGTGATAAGAAAATCAAACTGACATTATTATGTAAATTAATATGATGGCATTAAATATTGTTCTAAAGTGAATTAATTATAAATGCACTAAAATTTTATTAAGTGTTGTATTTCTTTTATTTTATTAAGTATTGAATTTATGTATTGTTTTTATTGTTTATTCAAAGTGTAATTAAAACAAAAATTTTAATGTAATGCAAATCTTGGAATTTCTGTTGTTAATGAGATAGTAGGAATAACCCAAGTTACTTATCCTTTTTATTTAAGGGTGATGACTAGTAGCTGGGATTTTAAAATATGACCCAGATTTCAACTTTTTTACTTGAATGACATCAGCTGAATTTATTGTCTAAAGACATAACTTGAAAATTCCTAGAAACTTTTAAACAATGGTGTTCATTTACTAATACACGAAAATCTAACTATGAAATGAAAATATTTTAAATCTCTCTATTTTTGATCACTTTTATACTGAATATACACACACCACAGATTTTAACAGTGGAAAAAATTTCCTTTCATGACATTTTAAAAACTTAATGATAAAAAAAAATTAGCTATTTAAAATTTAAAATAAACATGATTCTAAAAAAGAAAAAGAAATTGAAAGTAACTAAAAAATTGTTTCTCATATAATCATAATTTGAGGGTTAACATCTAACTGAAAATAATAAAATAATTCTAGAATTAAACTTTCGTAATTGTCCCTCCTGAATTTCAGATATTCTTTAGTGCTTACTTACAAAACTGTCAAAGTATCATATCAGATTATTAAAATATATCTGATGCATTTTACATAATTCAACACTTCATAAAAATTTTTATAGAATATATTTGGAATTGCATACTTCTTATTCTATTATAATTTCAAGTTGAATGTAAAATATTTTTATATATTGAAATTTAATTACATAATTTTTGAAATGAAATAACAAGTTTAATAAAATCTATTACTTAAAATCAAATTTAATTTTTTTAACAATAAATTCTTTTGTTTAATGATTATTTTAATAAAGATACCTTTAATAATTATTAATTACATTACACATCAGTTTCAGCTTTTGTAATGCAAGATATTAAAAATACTATGATTTTAATATTAAATTTTTACTTACCAATTCGTATTAATATTAAAAACATTACACAGTAGAAATTTCATATTTGAAAAGTTAAAATTTTCTTATTTACAGATAAAAAAATTAGAGGAACAATTTAATGATTGCTATACTAGCATGGTCTGATGGTTATCTCAAAGATTCTTGTATGATTTTTGAGCTGCAATTTGAAAAAAATTATTGACCTCTAAATTTCCACTGTCATCCATCTGTCTGTCTTTCCTTAATCTTGAGAATGTATATGGAAACCTTAGGGTCAAAAGGACCATATTTACTCACACATAAGATGAGGTTTTTATTCATTTTTCACTGCTTCAAAAATGTAGGTTATCCTTTACATGTGAGTGAAGGATTATTTACATTTTTGCAATAACCTTTGTAAACCATGTATTTGCATTTGTTAATGGATGCTCACCCTCTGGTGTTTAAAAACAAAAATATTTTTTCTGGGTCGTTTGAATCATTCTTGTGTATTGTCAGGAGTAAAGATGAATAGCAATAGGAAAAGCAAAGCTTTTGAATTGAATTCCAATTTGAAATAAGTTTTAATCCATTCCCACATGAAAACAGATGATTATTTGGAAATCAGAATTCAGAGAAACTCATAAGTGTAATTGACGGAAAGTGAATTTGACTTTGACTGTTAAGAATTGGCAAAAAAAATTTCCAATCATCCAGCTTTACATGAACAAATTATGTTGTCGATTTTACAAGATTTTTCCTTGAAGTTTAAAATACTAGTAATTTTTGCAGAAAAATGTGTGCATTTACGTTCATTTGATATTTTATTTGTGATTAAACAAAGAAAATTAAAATTAGAACTGTATTAATAAATCTATTTCATTTTAATATTTAAAGTTGCACCTCATCCTATATGCAAGTAAATACAGTATATAAGAAATTCCAATGCAAACCGAGAGTCATGTTATTTCAATTCAAAAATTTTTCCTCTGAAAGGTGTTAAGAGTCATGCCAGTCATCTATCTATTGTTAAAGGAAAAGTATGATGTACAGGAGCAAGCCACTACTAATTTCAGGTAGAAAACATATATTTTAAATTAAATAAATTTTTAAAAAATTATTAAAAATTGCAGCCTGGCATTGTGACAATGTCATAATAAATACAGTAATACCCCGAACTTACGCGATAGGTGGAACCGAGCGGTAACCGCATAAGTCAAATTTGCGTAAGTCGGGGTATAATTTCGCATATAAATACATACAAATAATTTTTAATTGGGGCCGGAGACTAAAGAAAACAATAATTTAGAAAAAAATGTTTAANAATCTTGCGAATGGTTTACACTCGGGTATCGCCAAGGTTTTTGGCAAAATTTGATGTAATATCGCTGCTCACGTTGTTCAGTCATTTTCCAGCTTAGTGAAATCCGACGAGAGCGCACTACATGACCTCACTCATACGCCGATTGCCAACGACTGACGCTTTCTGCAGGCGGGAAAAAATTCAGGGCTGTGCATGACTGTCCCCTCCACAACTCCACCGAAGGAGGCCTCTCTCGCATCATTGGTTTACGCGGAAAAAAATAAGGTCCGATACTTTTTGAACAGACCTTGTATATTAATCAATCCTTTACGAACCGTTTTTATTATTTTTATTGCAGATTTTTTATTTATTGCATTTTCTTTTTTCAATTTTAAACGTCACTAGAAACTATCATCATTTTTCAATATTGTTCATTAGCGACGCTATTGTTTACTGTATTTACATATGTTGAATTTGCTACGGTATTCTTCATAATTTTGTTCATTAATACCATAAAACTATAAACAAACATACGGCTCACAAGTAGCTGAGTGGATAAAACCACGAACACTGGGCGTTGGTCGTGGGTTCGCGCATCGTCGCTGGGAGTTAATGGGTTTTCTTCACGTTTGTAACACGTTACTAAAAGCCACTTTCCCATAGGAAGTCTTTCCTGGTTCAAACAAAGCCACAATACTGGTTGTAGGTTCATGCCTAGCAAACGAGCTGGCAGTCGAGTTATCCAGGTTTTCTTCACCTAAATAGAAGCCTGAGAAGCATCCCTCCTTGGCAGATCACCCAGATGTTGCGTTGCCATCAAATGAATCATGCAAACACTAGCCATGTTCCTTGTTTTATTTTTTGTAATACAACTATAAATTCTATTTTTACTCTAAATAACTTATTTTTAAACCTGGCCCCACTAATTTCTACATCCGCGATCTGTCAATGTTTTCATACAGTATTTATCAACATATACTTTTATAAATATAATGTAAATTTTTAAACAACATACGATAATAGTTTTATTCGAATCAACATAAAACTTAATTCCTAACTAAATAATATCGCTCATAAATTTAAAAATAATTGCTAAGATTAAAAGATTGGTCTAGTAATTCAGAAAAATAATATGTATATGTATATCTTTTCATCAATATCTTTTTAATGTTAAGTCTGCATTTATAATTTTAATATTTATATTTAAATATATTTATTCGTAAATAAATAAAAACAGATTTAATTTTATTATTTACTATATTTTTTTTTATTTGAAAAAACTTTGTATTTATATTTACATTATTTCTTTACTTTGTTCTTTTAACGATAGACATTATTGAAGAATCTTCAAAAATAACAAAGTCAAACTAACTTCATGCAATTGAAAATCGATGAAAGATAACATTTTATTTTAGAAAATTCAAAATATAATTTTTGTTTCTAAAATAAGCAGCTTTGCATATTTTATTTTTCATTTATATATATATATATTTTATTGCTTATTTTCATTTAGTGCGTGATTCAATTTAACATCCAAACTGTTGTACTGCATATGTAATTTGTAACACGTATGTATATTTAATTTTATGTAGATCTAAATAAAAATATTATTTGTAAATAATTTATTAAGGTGACATTCAAAAACGAAATTTATCAATTTTTATGTTTTATAATGCATTTAGTATAATTTATACACATGCTAAACATACTAAAAATATATAATGAATATTTATTAAGAAATCTGAATAATTAACGTTATTTTAACTTTGTAAATAAAAAACAGATGTATTTATTATTTAAGAGAGAGTATTCCTTGTTTTAGACATTTTCATAGGAGGCAGTATCTTGGCTTCATAAGACATTATTACTTTTCTTAAACATGAATAAGTAATTTATATTTTAATTATAAATATATCCGAAAAAATTGAAAATATAAAGTTTATTTAATCATTCGGACTAGATAAATTAATCAAATATTGGAAAATATAATTCTGAAAATTTTGTAAAATC